AGAACCAAATCCAAACATGCATGTAAAAGGAAAACAGGATGTGTATAACTATTTGATTTCTTTAGGAAAAACATTGACTGTGATTCGGAGTGCAGTGGTGTGGAATAGACCATTGTCCCTAGAAACTCCGGTGCATGACTTTGGACCAGGAGATTATGTCTATGTGAAAACGTGGACTTCTGAACCTCTGCAAGAACGCTGGAAGGGACCTTTCCAGATACGGTTAACAACCTTTACGAATATCAAGATTGCAGAATCAGATGCTTCAATACACTATCCCCGAGTGAAGAAGGCACCTACTCCATGGAAAATTATAAGCCGTGATCCAAAGACTTTAAAACTGGCTCTGAAACATGTCTAATATTTTATATCTGTTTGTGATTGTTCCCCTTATATTGGCTTGGAAGGTGACACTGGTGACATCATGGGTTGATTTTGTGGCTAGAAACAAAAGGTAATCAAATAAAGAACAATTAATTAACATTCCTAAAGAAATGCCTGAAGAAAATTTGATGTTAGTATTGATTAAGGGATTTGCCAACTTGCAGAACATTACGTAAATTACTGCCTGTTTACCAATACTGAGAGCCGTGGGTGAATCTATTCCTTGAGGAATCTTAATTATGAATTTGACCAATCTGGAACATAAAAATAAGACTACTTATTGCAAACAAAAGCCAATGATTCAATGGTATAAACAAGTGGAGGTTATTAGGAAATAATGGAAATCACCAGAAAAAAAAAAATCAGACTGCGAGAAACTACTAAATTATGACTTTGCAATAGGGTCTCAACCTAGTGCTTTGGCACCAAGTTCTCCTTCCAGGAGGCCCAAACCCTAATCTAGGATGTTGTTCATATGATGAACAAATTAAAAACAGTGTGAGCAGGAGCATCATGGAATGGCAGTGTAACAAAACTGGGCAAGGTACCCAAAAACAGGCACAGTGGGACTCTGTATAATCTCTGTCTATATTCTTACGATTTTAGTACATGGCCAGAACTCCTTGGTGTTTTACATGGGACGGTACCTGGATTAATAGAGTGTTTGGAATCCTTCCCTCAATAGTAGGTAAAAGCACTACCCAACTAAAAAAGGAAAATGCAGTACCATGGTGGAAAAGTGAAAAGGTGTATGATTGCAGCAATGCAGACTTAATAATCGAAGAATTCCTCATTTGGCAGCTGCTTTGAAGTTTGGTTGTTATTGTTGAGGTTTTTATAATAACCTCACCATGACTAGCACCTTTACACCCAGAAGAGGATACTTTTTAATTGTAAGAAATCTACCATTCAGAGTCCAGGACATTTAGTTTGGGCATTAAGTGATGGCACCTGGACAACACACTTACCAGTAGATAGTAAGGTGAAACAAATTACTTTAGGCCTGCCAACACTGTGTCCAATTTGGAAGAAATTGCCATTCAAGGGATCCCTGGAAAATTTAAAATTACAATGAATTAAAAGGTCTGAAATAGATGATGACACCTGGAATGAACCATCAACAGGAGTAAAAATTGGCTGGGCTTTAGAGTCTCTTTTGAACCCAATAGCGTCCTATAGGAATAGAGAATGGCTTTATCACTTAACAGGACAAGTAGAAAAATTGGCCAGTGTTACAAGAAAAGGATTTAAAGAATTAAACATCCAATTACAGGCAACTTCCCGAATGACACTTCAAAACAGGATGGCATTAGATATGCTTCTGTTAAAGGAGCACGGAGTGTGTGGATATCTCAAAGATAGATTGGATCATTGCTGCATTCATATCCCGAATGTTACACAGGATGTAGAACATGATCTAGATCTGTTAGGCAAAATCGAAAAAGAAACAGAAACCATTTGAGGAGACATGTCAGAAGATATGTCATAAGATTGGCTAGGAAAAATTTTTAGTGGATTAGGATGGAACCTGAGCTCTTGGCTGAAATCCCTAATCAAAACTCTATTTTTGCTACTAATTGTCTTTTTGATGAATTATGTTGGTGTATGCCTGTCTTAAAATACAGTTTAATAATAGGCTTGCAATACATCTTAGAATTATGAGAGAAGTACCCACTATGCCACCAGACTACAGCCTGCCACCACCATCATCTGGCAAGACAAACTTTGGCTTCAAAGATGAAAATGAATAAAAGTGTGAAATTATTGAAATGATTTTCAACACTTTCAAAGGGGGGAAATGTTACTGATTTTATTATCAATTGAAATTAAATTGGTTTTGATTTTAATATAAGTAGAGAATTAAGGGATATTTTAGTAAAAATCATTTATTTTACATTTATTGTACTTTGAATCTAGCAACCGACTGCTACTCTAAAATCCCCTGTACAGCCCTGTACCAAGGCCGAAGGGATTGGTCATAATTGTTTAGTAGGAATGGTTAGAGCCTAGGTAACAAAACACAAGGTGATTTGTAAGCTGATTTATAATACATACATAGGACTAGAAGAATGCAAGTAGTTGTCAAGGTCCAGGGTTAATGGGAACTGAGGGAAGTAACTGTAACAGCTTGCAGGTACCTGCCAAGAAAACTGCGTCCTTAAGCAAAAGGTAATTCCGGCAGGGGGAGATCGCGACCACCGACTCATGGACCACCTACTCACATTACACCCCAGACCCATTTCTAGACATTTCTAACCTCTACTGCGCAGAATCGGAAGTAGGAGGAGAATATGTTAATGATTTCTTGGAGGTTGTATGTTTATGTATGGAGACTTAATGAATATGTATGAGTAAGTTCTATATAAGGTGTATGATTCTGGTGCCTGGCACGTGTTGTTGGTGAGAGCACTCCCCTACACGTCCGGCCGTCAATAAAGAAGTGTCTGCTTATCTGCATCACATCGGTGTTGATAAGTTATTTTTATCCCGGATTTCGGTGGCATCAGGAGAAGCTGATACCTCTCATCAGTCCAGTGGAAAGTGATATTTTAAACAGCCATTGAACAAGGAACTGAGGAACAGGTCTGCTCACTGAGAGTTCCCCTAGGGCATTGGGATCCTGGCCGGTATGGAGTCACGCCTTTGTTTTGATCCACATAGCCCGTGGACATGCTGCTTCTTGGCCATTCCTTTTTACTGGGCAGTTCTATGTACCTCTGCCAGCAAACATCTGGGCACTAGATGAATTTCACTGATAGGATTTTAAAAAAAAAAAAAAAAAAACACACACCCCCACCCCCAACCAACAATTTAAAAAGGCTGTGGGGTGTGATGATTCTTGGCTTTCCTGACTGGAGAAGCAGCTGGTGAGCCACAGTCTTTGGTGGATCAATCCTGAGTAAGTAAACTGCAGGTTCTTAGATCCCCCAGAGCCCAGCCACTGGCCTGTTCTTCCCAAAGTACTACATTGCACCACCTCCTAGATGTCGGGGGAAAAGTGGGCCCTATTCCTGCTGGCAGAAAATCCTGCAGCTCCCTATGATACCTGTCAAGGGACAGGACATCTTTCTCTCTCAATATTTCTCCTTGTTGCCAATACAACAGGACCAATTACTTGCCTATCTCCACCGTCCCAACCTGAAAAAAAGTGTTGAGACTGAGGAATTCAATCAGCAGAGCTTAGGGAAAAAAAAATCCTACATCCCTGCAAGAACATGTCCCAAAGCAAGGAATATGTCTGATTTTACTTTTATTTATGCCCTTCTGGGGACAGGCAGAGAAGAGGCATTTTAATCTGGCCTGGCTGGATGATATAAAACAAGATTAACTACTTGCTAACTGGAATCATTAGGGTTCTAAGTTTTCTCACTAGCACAAGTTAACAAATCTTGCCTGAACATGGGAGTACAATGTTGATAGCACTGTCTTTATAGTATGGTTGCATTTGAGAAAGAGCTTTCAGTTTGTTTCTAGTCAACTGTATGTAGATTTAGCAGCTGCCTAGGTTCAGATTTACTACAAATTATACCACACATCAGAGCGTGCAAAATAAGGCAAAGCCCACAATACTTCAGTGTCAGCCTTTGTGCCACTATATTTGAAGCTGTGGCAGAATTGCCTTCACTCAGCATCATTGTTCTGTGCCTGAACCAGAGATACTCATGATGCAGCAGACAACCTCACTAAAGCCTACCAAGAACTCATGCCTTCCTCCCTAGGTTTTGTTTTCAAAGGTGTGCTTGGCAGCTTCCAAAAATACCAGAAGGTGTCTGAGTAGCAGGGTCTGCTTACATCCCCTCCTTGCAGGTTGTCTTCGGCTAGTACAAGTTTATAGACACCAGTCTGAATAGTCTGGCCAGTTCCTTCCTTGCATAACTGGAAAATTGGTAGGGTAGGATTGCTCCTTTGCAACATGAGCTCGTGGTCAGGTTGTTAAACCCCTCAGGTTGGGCACCACTGCTACAGCATTTAGCTGAATAGTGCTCATTAAGAGAGCAGAGATGAAGAACAATAGCATTGTAGAAAAGAACTGGGTTTCCTGCCTCAAGAGTTTATAATATCTCATTCATTCCTGCAAACCCATTAAGCATGGAGAATCAAAGCAAGTTCCTGCTAAGAGTGTTTTTGGGAAAGAGGGATATTTAAGTCATAAATTCTATTTTGAGTGGGGTATTCCACACTCTTCCAAGAAGGACACTTAGACTACTTCTGGCCACTTTCCTTAACTGGTCTGCAGTATTTCAGATGTGATCAGCAACTTATCTTTAAGAACCTCACTGAATCCCTACAGGCTTTCTGAAGATCTGTCTATAACATTTTTACTTAGAGAAATCTGCCCATTAGCATTCAATGCGCATCGCTATATTTCGTTTTCAGGAATTATGACACTTATTCCACAGGAAGATTTGAAAAAAAATCTAACAGTGGCCTATTTCTTTATTATAAAATTGTTGCTATAATAAGATATTTCTATTGATTTGCCTCTATATATTTCTAAAGCACTGTAGGACTAAATTTAGGATCCAAAGCAAGAAGAAAAAAAGGTTCTCTAGCAAACCTGAGTTTGGTCAATCAATCATTATGAAATAAAATTAGAAAGAAAAGATCCTTCTTACTGGCCTTATGAAATGATGCACTGTACTTCCTCAGAGCTGTGTAGGCCTTCTGCAGATTGAATTAAATTCATCAGAAAAGCTTGAGATGGGTTTCTTGAGAAGTGAAAACAGTAAGACATCAAGCATCCACTACATCTGCTACTTGCCATTTATCACAAGCTTTTCTGGTTCCAAGCTGTACATGGGAAGGTCTCATGGTTTGAGGACCAAGTTTGGAGCAACCCTTTCTTTTTTACCAGGGACTAGACAGGAGAGGCAAGTTAAAAGCAAGGGTTCAATGCAACAGCAAGTCCAGCCTCCTATCAAACTTGGCCCAAGACTAACCAATAAGCACCTAAGTCGAGGAACAAGGTCCTTAGGAAAGCTCATCTGATACCACAGGGAGGCCACCACCTCTGTGCAGATAAGGCTTTTTGTGGATACCAAACCTTATTACACAGTCACACTCTCATAGTTAAAAGCAAGCCTGTCAATATAGGTAAGAGCACTGCCCCAAGTGCTCCATACTATTTCAATATGCAATGTGAATGCTCCTCCAGATCGCAGATGCAAACACAGCACTAAGAAGAGTCAGTCTCAGTCTCCACTGTCCGCTTCCTTATATTCCTGCATCCATTCAGTGGCCCTACCACAAAGTTACACCTACAGTCCATTTCCAAATCTAAATATACCATGAAAGCAAATGCATTTGTCTCAGCTCATCCACATCTCGTTTTTAATTAAATCATCTGCACTGTTTCAAAACATTCAGAAGGTTAAAAATCAGTTTAAGCCTATCTTAATTTTACTTGGTGGATATCAGCCATAGGTACTACAAGATAACAGAGACAGCCTCATTATTACTGTTTATAGTGCCCATCCATGACGTGACAAGAAATAATTTAATCTCACATAAATGAGAAAAAAAATAAGCACATCTGAGAGTTCAGTGCAAAATTCTGACTTATGAAGCAAGTTTATTTAGAAATCACCATAACAGAAAGCGACCATTGTGACAAATTGCACAAGGTTCAGTTTTCTTAATATACAGTATCATTCCAGCAACTTCACTAGTCCCCGGCTGGGTTACACAAGCAAATTGCTTCCCCATCTCTCTCTGGGGGAGTGGTTTTCAACCCTAGCCCCAAGGATTCATGGACTTCCAAGGGACTGAAATGGTCACTAACAAAGCACATAGATAGGATCTACATGGATCCAAATATTACTAAGTGGTCTGGCCCTATTCTGGGAGATATTTAGCATTCCAGAAATTGGGAGTATTTGAAAAATCACCTATCCAAATGGAAAATTATTAGGACCAGAGACTGTATCTTACACTGTAAGTGTACAACACCCTATTTTCTCTACTCTAAGTCAATGGAACAGAAACAAACATGAATAATGTTGCTGGACTGATAAGGTCTGCATGAAAATCATACATGTCATTTTCTTTGCTGATTTCCATTTTGAATAAATAACCCCACGTCCAGATGTCCAGTCCAATTTCAGCCTTGAACAGTTTACCAGCCCAGATAAAAAACACCAGCACACTTCCCTACAGGATTTCCACTCTGAAAGCATCCTTCCCTTCCCCTCAAAAGCCAGGGCAGACAAAGCTGTTGGTTGATATTAACTTAACTGTCAAAACATCAGCAAAACAAGGAAAGGAGTGGTGGAGGACAGGTGCTAAGGTTTCCTTGGCCCTCCAAATGGGCTTGTCTCCAGCAAAACTCTGAGACCAACTGGTCCCAGTCCCAATCCCAGAGAAACCTGGGGACCCAGCCCAGCATGAGCAAGTGCCTTACTAAGCCACTGATTCCAGAGTTTATTTCAATTATTCACCTATTCTTACCTTCCTGGAGGTTGCATCCTCACTCTCAACTCATGAGACCCTCATAAATAACTTCTTGTTTTAAAGCACCTCATTAAAGACTTTGGATCTCATTCTAACTACACTTCTGTAAATCAACAGGCTCTCTAGTACAGTCAGTAAACCACATGAGTGGGGTTTAATTCTTATCATCTGGCTCAAATCCACTTTTGTTTTGGCTAATTGATATCACTAAGTGAATAAATGTGTAGAAGTGACCTTTGGTGAGAAGAGAAACTTAAATCTCAGAAAAGTGTTCCTGATTTTACTAACCCAGGCAGCTGCCTTCCCAGAAAACTCAGTCTTGTTCCCAGCATAACTAAGAGTGTAGGTTTCTCCACAACATTCTTTTCTGGTTCTGTCTTTTCTACCAAAGCCTATTGGAAGCCATCAAGGTCTGGATGAAGTTAACTGGAACTTTTCTTTGAACAAATCTTAGTTACTGTCAAGCCTGGAAACTCAGCAGCATGACCCTGAAAAGAAATAGTTTTGCTTTGCCCAACTCTGAGCAGAAGAGATCAACACCACCTGCACGCACCCCACAAAAGCTTTGGTAGCAGGCACAACAGAGCTGAGTCCAACAAACACAGCAAAGCCATATTGTTGGCTTGTTGCAGACATCTATCAACACCATAACACTGCAAGAGATCCAGTCCCAGCTCTCCTCTCAATAGATAAGAATATCAAAATGCATCCCACACCTAGCTATCTCCCTTGTTCCACTCACTATTTGCAGTGTACTAGAGGGCTGCTTCTTACCCCCAGAAAATACAGTAATCCAGGAGAGACCAGTCATCTCCCAGACTAAGAACTCCAAAGCATGGCAGTCTTATTCTTGCAAGCATTTTTTTCCCTCTTCTCAAGGTTCCCTTCCCCATTTATTCCAGACTAGTCACTGAATGAATTCTAGCCTCAGGCAGCTGCAGTGTACCTTCTCTTGCCCATTTAATCTTCAGCAAAAACCATCATGAGTTATTTGTCTCCAAAAATAAGTTATTCTCAACTGGATAGAAAGATACTGAAGTCAGTCATATTACTAACACACAAATGAAACCTTAAACCTGATGTTAAGCTTGGGACTCTTTCAAGATGCCACCTGGTACTATAACCCAGGATACAACCCAGGATACTTCCTTGCAGGTAGGAAGTCCACCTTAACTGTTGCACTGCACTGCATGTACATGCGTGTCTGCCCAGCACAGTACTGGAAAAGTACAACACAGGCTGCCTATGAGCCTTTTTATAATTTAATAATAATCATTAAGTAATGAGTCATTTCCTAAACTGGCCAGTGGGTTACCAGTTACTTGACAGCTATTTTTCAGCTGCACAGAATAAAACATCAGGTAGTGGTGTGCTCTTGGTCCAACACACAGAGAGCTAGAACCAATGGCTACAAGCTGCAGTTTCCAATGAAGGTGGGATCCCTTGTCCTTTTGGATCCACTTCTGGGAGTTTTCCTTCTAATCAAAAAAGACTCAGGGTCCCAAGGGAATGTGTGACAGCATGAAGCATGTGAGTAGTCAGAGCAGGTGATTGGAAAGTCTCTTTAGGCTTTAGACCCCGTGACCTGAGAAAAGCGCTTCCTTCAAACAGTAGGCAGTCATAAATCAATGGGCAGTTTTCTGACTCAGCAGAGACAGCATCACCTTAAGTGACACTGACAAATGAGTCTGCGAGATTTGCTTTGCTACACTGCCTTCTGTTTAGCTTCCCCTGAAATATAAATGCATGAAAGACCATTAATATAAAGAAGTCAAGTGTGAAATGAAATAATTCAGATGCAGTACTTCATCACAAAGTGGTTGGTATAAAGCGGAGGAAAGCTTATTCAAACTAAAAGCCTAAAAAATCATATGAAAATTAATATCCAGGTATGATTTATTTATAGGTCATTCTCTCCCGAGCCACACCACATCTGCTGCAAAGAACAGCTTAGCTGTATTAATTGTCAGCTTTCATGAAACACTTAGGAAACGTTCTATGTTGAAAGTCCAGCTCAGACCTTGATCTCAGCAGAGCTGACAGAAAAAGTGATGACCACTGGTGCCCACCCTGTCTTCAGTCATGAGCCACCTGGAAATAGCCAGTTCTTAGTGCCTAGGGAAGGGTCAGTGGGATTTCAGGCTGGTTCCTGGCAGCTCCATGGGGTCACTCTGGAGGAACATAAAGCAAAAAAGTCACTCTATTCAACTCTGAGGTACACTGGAAGAGAAATTAGAGGTGGATATCATGACTCTCATGGGAAACACGGAAAGCACTCATTAGTAACACTGCTAAATGATTAAATTCTTTGTATGTTTGAGATAAGCTGGTGAATAACTGTTTTTAAATTGTTTCTCATTTTAAAACAATTATGTCTTAATGAAAGTACCCAAAGAGGAGTCAGAATCTAAATGATCTACTGCAGAATTAATTTATTCTTAAGGATATGAACTGAGTTGCTAGTTGTACTGTAATGGTGCTTTGGCTTTTGAATTAGTGAGATACAAATTTAGGGAAACACAAACAAAAAGGGGAACAAAAATGCTTATTGTAAAGAGGGAATTGAACTCCACTCAGAAAGTTTAAATGTCATTTACTTACAATAAAAGTGAAGGTTATGCATGGATTAAAAGAAGAAATAAAAAGTTTCAAAAACATATGTGGACTTCTTGGTAATCTCCTCAATATCTTCTAGAGGTAGCAAGTTGGATTTTCTGCCCAAACCTTATCTTTCCTCCTTCTTTCTTCTATGCTCCCAAATCTTCCCTCGTAGCAGGAATGCCTGACCATGATATCTCATTTTTTGGAAAGCAAAATTCATTCCTACTTGTCTTACTGTGTTAGATCTGAATATTTGGTTTTTTTCCTGGTAAATCAACAAGATAACTGCAGATGAAAGTTACACGCTCATTGCTGGAACTACATCAGTTTTCAAGTTCAGTCTATTTGGAGAGAACAAGCAACTATTTTAACACTGTTGGCATTCTCAGAAATAATTTCTGGAGAGAATTTCTATTTACATTAGTGTTACTACTCTGCATGGTTACTTCCCACGAGAAATACAGACTGTTTTAACAATAAGCCAGTCACCAGTTTTCCACCCAAGAAGTGCTCTGCTGCCATTCAAGGTTGAATCCTTTGCACCCATTTATTATCCAGGCTCCTTGCATTGTACCAGTGTTTCTTTTTCTTCCAGCTGAGCTCTGTGTTTCTTCTTGGCACTTTTAAAGATCTTCTTAAATTATCTTTTTACTGCACAAATTAAATCATTTTTTAAAAACAAAAACATGGAAAAATCCACCATGGCTTCTTTTGTCCCACAGGTACATGACAGTCCCCAGCTATCTCTCTTCTACAATTTAGAGGTTCTTGAGATGAGGGTAGGGAGGCATTCTATTGTTGGCTCAGCCCCTGCAGGGTCAGAGCACTGGTCTGCTTCCTGGCATATGCCACATCCTCACCATATTCCATGCCCTCCCCAGGCTAGAGCTGCCAGACACTCTGCCCATTTTTCCTCCTGTCTGTAGGCCTGTACTGCAATGCCTTTCACCCTGGGAGGCCCTACTGCTTTAGCTGTCCTGATATCTGCTCCCAAAGGTCCTGGTGAGGGATGCTTACCCCAGCCTCCTGCACCCCATGGTCAAAGTCTGAGCTCTGTCTGAGGTAAAATTCTACCTAAATACATCATGTCCCAGAAGGACTGCTCAGAGTTTAGTTCTGGATGGGAGACCACACTCCAAAACCTGAAGGACATGTGTGGATGGCAAGGTGCTGAAATTCTCCCTGGTAACCTGTTTACCCTTATAGCACAAAATAGTGCAAGTTCTTTCTTCTTTCCACTGACTGGAAAGACTCTTCCTGAAAGATTCAAGGCAGTAACAAAAGACAGACAAGGGAGACACCGCCACCCTCAGCTTTCTGCCCTGTGCTCCTGTGGTGGTTGTGATGAAAGGAGTTTAAAGCTGTACCACCTTCTCTGAACCCCTTTCTTCCCTCACAAACTCTCCTCTGTTCTGTGCCCAGTCTCTGGGTTCACAGGCTGGACTGTGCAAATGAAATAACATGTAGAGACAACTGAGAGACATGGGTGAAAGAGCGCACACCAATGTGGCTGATGGCATAGCTGTAGGAGAGCCCTAGGACCACAGAACCCAGCCTGGTAGCACAGAACAGAATGACTAATGAAGAAATTATGCTTGAGAGATTGTTTGCAGCATGCAGTCATCCTGCATTGCATGTGCAGGCCAAGCAGGTTACTAAGTCTTCTTGCAAAGTTATAAATTAGGGTTTTCCTCTGTCTCTCTTTCATGCAAACACACTCCAAACTAAGAAAATCAAATCAAACCCTCCCTAAAATAATCAGAAAGATGGGAAAACAGAACCCTAAGCCCCTAGGTCAGAGCAATTATGTGCTTTTCAGCAGGCTGATTATTATTATAGAATCCTGACAATACAGGTGCAATGCATCGTGCTTTCATTCTATGGGCTATCTTTAATTCAGTATTACACAAAATAATAGTCCAACCCATGTGGAGAAGATTGCTGTGCACACTGTGAACTCCCACAAACAATAAAATGCAGTTCAGCCCCGCTTGTTCATCATATCTCCATGACCTTGAGATATTTTAAAAGACAATAAAAACACACGAGACCTTCAAGTCTGAAAAGCTGTATACACATACAAATCCCTTCTTTTTCAATAGGTGCTTGCTTCAAATTAGCAAGGTGGCTATTATGCATACTAAAAAGTGAGAGCAACAGATAGTAATAAACAGCATATCCTAGAACAGAAAAGTAGGTCACATTGAGACTAATTTTCTTCCCAAACTTGAGGTGTTTCTTTTCTCCTTCCTTTCTTCTCCAGGACTTTCCATAAATAAACTTATTGAGAAGACAAAGAGCTCTTTTTCTGCTCCAAATGAGGAAAATACCTCACCCAGCCTGCTCTGTATCCCTGCAATTTGTCTGAACTCTCCACTAATTGTCATGTATTTGATACTCTCACAGAAATCTTTTCTTCCAACACCAGCAGCAAGAAAAAGCCTTAACTAAAGAATCAGAGAACTAACTAGTAATGCCAGCTCAGGTCAGCTCAAAGTGTCCCCTAGACTGGATGACTTCAAGAGAAAGCTCTCCGTGACCTTTCTCTGTCATCACCGATGCCAATGCAATTACCCGGGGCCTCTTATACAGCAGCTTTGTGTAACCCAGGCAGGATTACAGAGAGCCATTCAGCCTAGCCTGACCTCGGGAACAGAGCCAGGATTCGCACTGTGAGGAGAGGCATCTTACCTGACGGCATCATGGTATGGGTGCTGACAGCATCCCTCGCCCATTGGATCAGTTTCCCCATTCAACCACACAGCTTTTGAAACAGCTCATGTTTCTCCCTCCTCCAACTTCTGTGATATTCTAGAAAGAAATAACCCTTCCTCTGGATAGCAAGATTTAAAAAAAAATGTTTTCTATTTCCATTTGTAAATTATTGCCTGCTTTTCATTATTACCTGTTACCTCTGAAAGGAATGAATCTTCTCCCCAGTACAGTGTAGGTTCTGGTTGGATGGTATTTCACTTCTTTGCCTTGTCACAGACCCAGTTGTCTTCGCAGAAGACATTGCATTTAAGGAATTAGAAATCAGGAACAGTCCATGTCTGCCCTACCAGGCATTGTACACAGGACTCCAGCAGCCTGTACGTTGGCATGAGTAGTCACTGCAAGGGAACCTGTTGGAGTGCCCTGTGCTGGCCTGTGCTGTGAAGTAGGTGTTATGACAGAGGTAACAGTTCAGGTTGTCAGGAGAAGGTAAACAGCTTCATTTCTTAAGCAAACTAAAGGGCACAATGGCATGGGAGGGAGGCAGAGCCTCTTCATGAACAGGATCTGCACAGTATGGCATAGGAAAATCCATCTGGGGTCTGTCCCACCCTGCATCCTAGCTTCAGAAGGGAAGTAAAATTTACTCACTATCTATATGCCTCTTTTTGTTCTACCTTATTAAAACAGCTATTTTATTCCATCGTTTGTTGTTGAGCTCTTCTTATTGATATCTGGAAAGAGCTCTGCACTATCTATATCCCATGCTCCTAGTGCAGAACACCAGGTCACTGCAAACAGGGTCTAAAGACCATCTCCCTGCCTTGTTTGGCTATTTGATTTGCCTGTGCCTAGCAGAGTGGGGACAAGGGTGTCCAGGAACTATCACAACACACACTTATCATGCATTATTTTAGTCAGTGAATCAGTAGTGGTCATCTGGTAGCATGCTCATATAGAAGAACGCCAGAGCATTGCAGATCACACAAGGGCTCTGGGATGGCATTTATCCCATTGGCAATTGGCTTTGATGTTCCTGGAGAGAAGAGCTGCTTCTCTCATGATAAGGCCCACAACGTTATGTCATGTTTGTATTTCAGGAGGCTGAGAAAGCACCAGAATGCTAGAGGACACGTCCTCAGTGAGGAAGGGTGGAGCAAAAAACTACATGTTCTGCTGCAGCAGCAGATGTGATATACCATATTGCACAAAAGCCTGGAGAGAACTGTGTCCGTTATTGCTGGCAGAGTATTTAATGTCAATCAACTCTTGTCCATCCTCACCTTCAGCTCTGCAAACAGTGATCTCCATTGCCGAAGAAGGAGATTCTTGAAGGTGGTGTCACGAAGACTCCAACACAGAGGGTCATATTCATGCATGTTTTGTCCTTTCTATAAACGTAAAGAGATTAAAATTAATTTTACTTTGAATTAAGGCTTTGAAGTTAGCTGGGAAGCCCTGTTTTGTGTTATGTGCGATGTGGGAGCACCTGAAACACTGGGACTGCTCCTGGAGACTGCTGCAGTAAAGCAGCAATGGATAGTTTCTTGCTAGGGACTGAGATGAATGGGAAAGCCTATCATTTATGAGGTTATGTTAATTTAGCTCCACTGAATCTCTCTGGGCACCAGTAACATTGATTTAGGATTTTGTTCTGATGACAGCTGAAAGGTGTGAGCTAGAAGAATTGTCTGCACTTTGCCAACTGCTTCCCCCAATTACTGCCTGCAATAGCAACCTTAAGTTCTTGCTTCTTTTTCACCTTGAGTCTTAAGACAGCATACTGCAGGTAACTGGGCCATGTCTCTGTGTTTCTTGCTCCAGGACACCCAGTGCCACATTCTGGAGTGATCCCCCACAGCGGGAGTGCCTGCTGTGGATACGACACTACAGATCTTGATATGCTCTGAATGTTAAATTTGAGCTGCAGTTCTTATAGAACTGAATACAAACTTACCACCTGGGTCCTGCAAAGCCTATAGTGCAGTATAGATGCTAAGTGGGGAGGCAGGGTGAAATCAAGAAAAACGGAAAAAAAAAAAACAACCCACACCAAAAAAACCCCATACCTAAACCAACCAACCAACCAATACCAAAATAAGCATGCCCTAAACCTTGCATTCCTCCCAAGGGTGAAGAGAACTTGTCGCATAGGGAAAAATAGCCAGGGACACTATCTTTTAGCAGGTTAGGTTAAGTAGTGTCTGTCTGCACCATAAATAAATGTGCAAATTCCCTTCTTGCAGTTAAAGGGATTGATAGCTCTTTCCCTGCTCTCTTGCCCAATGGGCATTTTCGGTTCCCTCCCGGCCTGAGACAGCCTTGCCTTGGCTCACCCGCATGGTCAGTCATGTATTAATTGTTCTAAGTGGGGTGTCCCACTGGGAAAACACTTCTGATAGAGCCTGAAATACCAAAACAGCCTCCCCTTTGTGTACAAGTATGCCTTTCTGTCACCGTAGTTGTTTTGTACACCAGAGCATGGCGTTGCTCTCTTGTGTTCTAGCTTAATGGTTGAATTTGTCCTGTGAAACTGTTGCAGCAGGAGAACTGGACATGACACACTAATTTCTCTTATAATAGGAATTGTCAGAGCTCCTAAATTTAATCCATGGCTTTGTGAGAATCTGTCTGAGAGTGAAGCTCAGCAGATCTACAATAAAAGAAAAGAGCATAGACTACCTACAACCACATGTCTCTGCTGCTTTGCAGTGTTCCACCTTGCAAAGCACCCCTAAATCACTGGGGGCTGATCTTACAGCTGATGCATTGTCTCAGCAGAAGTATCTACTGCACATTTTGGGGATGGGATGGGATGGGATGGGATGGGATGGGATGGGAGCTTGATGTTATAAATCTTCTCCTTAGGAATTTTTCAAGTTTGCAGTATCTTTTTTCTTCTGAAACAAGAAAAGCATGAAAATAAGACCCACATCAGATTCTCTGCTAAGGTGTTTGATGTTCTCTGCTGCTCTTTCTGAAACTTATCTCTTCTTTGAAAATAGGAACTGTGCAACCCTTTTGGATAAGATGAAAGTCTTTCAGACGCTGAAATAAGTGTAACTGGTGCAGAGCTACTTGGCTGATTCTGCAGAAAACCAGAAGTGGTGTCTTGCAGACAATAAATGCTCCCCTCTCATCTCTACTCAGAGATGTAAGGCTGATCTCTTTCATGCCACCATTGCTGATTGCTTCCTTCCTAAAGAAACCATCTCAGGGAGGAGAAAGAGAGGTTTCCTTACACTGTATGCTTCCCACAGAGGCACAGGCAGCCACCTCTGATCATATTTTGAAAATGTCCCTAGCCAGTTGTGTGCTTATTGTTGTCTGATTTTAACAAAAAAAAAGCTTTTTGCCTTATTCCATTTTGTATTTTACTGTTTCAGATGGGGATCGACTAAAATTCACTTCATCTTACCCTGTTCAGTTGAGGATGGCAGGATCAGTGGGGACTTACCCCTTCAGACCTTCCTTATCAAACACATCCAAAACACACTGATGATTATTTAACCACCTGAATTAGCTGGTGGAAACTGGCTTTGCTCCAGAAATGTCCCCAGAGCTGTACTGACACATTGAGAAGGTGACAGGACCATGATTGTACTGCCTATGGGGAATGTTATGAAGAACTTTCATGACCAAAAAGACAACATATTTTGTTGTCTTGCAGGTCTGATTAGACATCACACAGAGTATCAGCTGAGGAGTTCTAGGATGTCCTGAATCAGTGGAAAAACAGGCATTCATGTCTTTGCTAGTCAGAGAAGAGCTCTTCAGTGTCTGAAACAAATGCTGGCCAAATCCTGTGAGTGTTAAAAGCCTAGAAATCTGATTGCTTAATGAAGGAAGTATGGCTCAGCTCAGTGTCATTGTAGAAAGAAGATACACTGGTCTGATCATGCTGGACTCTGTCATGTTGCAGGTGTCAGACTGCAAACAGACATGCTTTACAAGCAGATGATTTTTTTTTTTGTTAAAGGTTACATCATTTCTCCCCATGGAGGCACATGTGATCTGATATACACACAGCTGATTTTCATCCCTAATTTGTGCTTAGTTACTCAGAGCTGGTACTAAAACTGGTATGGCTATGCCAGGTCTGTAAGCCTAACTGTTGTCTCTTAGCACAGTGCTGACATTTGGTAAAGCAGCAGAAAGAAGTAAAGAGCAGGGAGACTGACTGCACATGAACTTTACTGCCGGAGGAAGGAGTTGACAAATGAAAAGGGGAAATGGCACTGCAAGAATAGCTGGCAAGGAGGCTGGGCTGATCCACGGGTTTTAAAGGGAAATTGAGGGAAGGAGGACTGAAATACAACCCCAAACTCAACAGCAGGCAAGAGTTCTCAACTCCCAAGTTCTCTGCCCAGCTCAGACCCTGACTTTCAGGGTCCTACAATTTGGGACTGAAAGCTGAAGGCAAGCTTCAGTTTTTCCTTGCTGAAGTGCAGAAGGTTGCAGAGTTTTATCGCAAAACTCCTTGCTTCTCCCACTCTGCCTGTCTCCATACTTTTGGAAAAAGAACTGCAAAGGTACAGAACAGAGGCCTAGAACACCTGCTGTGCCCTTGCTACTGTCCCTGTCCCAGTTATTACACATCAAACAAGTGCTTAGAAAGAGCATACCCTGGAAAGAAGGTTTTCAGAGTCTCTGGTTTGGCTCCATAAGGAAGTAGGGCTGCCCTACCAGTTTTTCTCCCGTGAAAAAGCAGAGCATCACCAAAGCTAGAGAATCAGTGTGCTTGGTTTAACCTGGACCAAAACAAATTAAGAAGTTAGAAGACAACTACACCTTTTTGCACC